CAGTAATGTAATGTTGAGTCGACCAAGAATCGAATAATGAATTGAATAACGGTGTTTTGAGGGGGCGCGCTTCATGACCCTTCAGGTCCACTTATACTCGTAATCAGTTAATAGTTAAACTAGTGAATGAGTAACTCAACTCGACTGGTGTTCAGTTGTTGTTTGTTATTTCCCAATATAAGATGGCAACTGTATCACCTTTATGGAAGTGGGTGGCGTTGTTCTTCATAATACTAAACGTTGGTTTACTCATTGCACTCATTKTCGTTGCAACTAATGATGCTAGCAGTCAAAAAAGTAATAAGACCTCTAAAATTCATGTTTGTAGCACGGACAGTTCGCAGRCAAGGGTTACGGCAAAGATAACATCTTCACGCGGTCTCTTCGATGATCTAACCCCGGACGAAATAAACAAAGTCAATAACTACATGCTCTCGGTCAAGTCACTCAACCTAAAATCGAAGTTAACAAAACTCAGCGACAATACTATCGCTCTTATYAAGTTCTACCCGCCGTCTAAAGATGCAGCCTTGGCTTATTTGGATGARGGCAAAGAAAAGCCAGAGAGACAGGCTATTGTTGTGATATTCAAAGGAGCGGCTCAGCCCCCGATAGTYGAGGAATACCTTGTTGGCCCAGTATCTGCACCRARTAAACACGAGCTGCTGAAAGTAGACGGTCGGTCGTACCCTATCAACTTCAACGCAAGGCCTGGCGCTARTCCGTACGAAGATGGAATCCTACATTCTCAAATCGTCATACCAATGGCCACAAAACTCCACCGCCTTTTTAAAGAAAGCTATGACGGGTATACTATGATCAACTGTGCTGACAAGTGTTTATTTTATCAATTTAGTGCACCTTTCGGACTTACTAGCAAGACGAGAGAAAACTGGTATGCGCTAATGCGCTACGAAGTGGCATTTTATTCTCATCCTTTGAATTTTGAATTTTACGTGAATCATGCTGGTAGCAACTCGTCAGAATGGCGCATAGAAAAGTTGTTGTACAACGGGCAGCTTTTCAACTCTACTGAAGAACTAATGGATGCCTATGACAAAGGAAAACTCGTCAAGACATTTATTCCTGACCCTGGAAAGGACAAAGTTTTCTCTACTTACGAAAAGCGCGGAAAGCAGCAGCCTTCCAAACCCAGTCGAGGTCCTGAACAGTACGAGCCCGATGGAAAACGTTACTCTGTGAAAGGTAGACATATCGAGTACATGAACTGGGCTTTTGACTTCCGAGTTGATTCATCAAGTGGACTTCAAGTATATGATGTAAGATTTGGAGGGGAAAGGATTGCGTACGAGATCAGTCTACAGGAGGCTATAGCGACATATACTGGCTATTTTCCTACGCAAAWGGGTATATACTTCCTGGACAGTAGTTATATGATGGGATTTAACTCACACGACCTGGTTCAAGGTTAGTCAGTTGTAATTTAGTGCGAAGAGAAGCGACAGTTACACGAAATGATTCCAGCATGTATGAACAAGA